ATATTATAAGATTATATATACTATAAGTCTTCTATATATTTAGAAGTAATAATTTTAAAATAGTTTTAGTATCTTTCTATACTATACTACTAAAAAGACTTTACTTTTAAATAACTACTTAAAGCTACTATATTATTAGTTAATTAGCTCTATATAGTTAAAATTAACTATAATATATAAAATAATAAGTTTATAGAGCTAGATTAACTATATATATATGTAGTTAGAAGAAAAAAGCTCTAAGAATAAATTTTTCTAATTTCTATCTCTTATTACGCTATACTTAGTAGAGTTAGCGCTATAGAAATTTTCTAGAAATCTTTATTATATTATAGATACTATATACTATAAGTTATATAGATTATTATAGAGATATAATACTACTAACTAGAAGTAAACTAGATTTTTTTAAAAGTTACTTAAATATATATAGCTTTTTAATTATATAATATAGCTTAGTATAACTTTACTATAAGGTATAATATACTATAGAGAATATATATATAAATTTCTCTAGAAAAATATTAAGAGTTAGCTTAGTTATTTAAGAAAAATAGAATAATTTTTATTAATTTTTTTTACTAAGAAATTATAGGTAGTTTACTTATATAGATAGTTTACTTATAAAGTATATTAACTTTAATATAAGATATAATATACTATAAAGAGTATATATATAAACTTTTATAGAATAATACTATAACTTTATATAGTTATTTAAGAAATACTATTTAATATTCTTATTAAAATATTCTAGAAATTTTATCTATTTAAAAACTTTACTTATTAAGTATTTAATATAAATAATAGTAGATAATAATAATTTACTATTTAATTAAACTACTATAAGTTTAAATTAAAGTAATTATACTTATATAAATTTAAGCTAGAAATAATATAAGTATTAATAGTATTACTTTAAATATACTATTATATATATTATAGTAATTAAATATAAATTTAATAATACTACTATTATAATTTATATTATTTTAACTTATATTACTACTACTATATTAACTAATAGCTAGTATATATATAATATATAATACTTATAAAATAAAAGTTAAACTTAATTTAACTTACTTAAAAATTTTAAATATATTATAAATTATAGTAGTAATTTCTTAGCTTAGTATAAAATTCTAATTAGCACTATATATAGCTAATAACTTCTTTTAGTAGCTTACTACTAGAGAACTATATAATATATACGTATAAAAAACTTCTACTTAGCTAATATAGTATATCTAAGTAATGCTATTTAAAATGCTAGAAAATCTAAGTATTATAGCTATTACTTACTATTATTCTAAGCTCTATCTATAAGCTACTTATTCTATGTCTAGTATCTTTCTCTTCTATTCTATAACACGCCTAGCATTTACACGTAACCTAGGTAGCTAGCTTATAGTCTTACGTAACTCTTAGATAGTTACCTCTTAGAAATATTAGTAACTTAAAGTCTAAAGCTTAGAAAATACAAAGAATTATACTAGAAATATTACTTTTTCTTATTTAATTATAGCGCGTAATCTTATAGCTATTCTTCTTCTTATAAACCTTATTAAATATCTAGATAAAGTAGAGTTATTAGTAGAAGTTCTTAGAAAACATAATAAGAATAGTAAAAAGTATTAGTTTTTACCTTCTTTACACTCTACTCTCTAAATTCTACCTTCTAATTAAAAAGGTTAACTAGCTAGCTATTTCTAAAGAACTTTAGTATAAGAGTAGCTATATACTTAGAATAGACGTAGTTTATAAGCGCCTAAAGGCGATTCTATATAATATATTTTAGTTAATTACTTAAAAAATATAGTATATCTTAAGATATATAAGGTAGCTATTATTTACTTTCTTCTAGAATAACTCTAGCAACGCTATCTACGTATACGTTAGCATCTACTCTTTAAATAATTAGAAATATAGAGAAATACTTATAGTATAGTTATAGCTATAAAGAGTATAAAGCTACTTCTTAAACCTATCTAGTATGTTCTCTAGAGTAGGTATAAGCTATAAAATGTTAGCATAAGCTTAGAATAGCTAAAGTTCTTATCTTTCTAACTTATAACTTACTACTACCTATTAGAAGTATATATTATACCTTAGAATACTAGTTTTCTTCTCTCTAGTTCTCTTCTTATAATTATTAGCTAAGAACTATTTACTATAATACGTTTATATTAGCTAAATCTACTTATAGAATTAAAAATTCTAATATTAAGCGTAGCGCTAGAAATATTCTACTAAACTCTTATATATTTAGGTAAGAAAGACCTTAGAATTCTCTAAGAATAGTAGTATAAAAGATATTATAAGAAAAGAGAGAAGACTTACTAGACTTTACTATTAAAGAAATAGTTATTCTTCTAGATAAAGTAAGTTAGTTCTTAGAATATATAAAGTAAAGAGTAGTAAAGATAGTAATTACCTTCTTTTAGATTATAGCTACGTAGTATTTCTTCTTCTATTTTAGTATAAGGCCTTTTAGGTAGGTAATTAGTAGCTTCTTAGAATATTTAATTATACTCTTTAACTATATAGTATAGTATATTTTATAAAGATATTTAAGCTTTACTACTATAAGTCTATCTTCTCTAACCTATCTTTTTCTCTATATAAGAATATTGCTAGGCTTTCTACTCTTAGTTTACTTTATTAGAGAAGGCTAATTATCTCTCTTATCTTTATTAGTATCTCTAACCTCTTAGGCCTTATTAGTAGAAAGTTTAGGCTTATTTACGTAGATATTAAGCTTAGATAATAGAGTAGGTAGTAATAGAGTATTTAGAGCTAGAGTACGTATTATTTAGGTATTAGCTATAATTGTATTTAAGTGCCTATAAGAAAGTACAACGTTAGTAAGCGTTCTAGACAAAGAATAAGAAAGAAAAAGTTAGAATCTCTAAAGCTTAGAGTCTAAAGTAGTAGATGCACCGCCTAGAATTTAAGAGTAGAGAGAGCAAGTAACCTAGGCAAGCTACCTAGCCTAAGAGAGAGGTAGCACTAAGAGTAGGCTAGAAAAGGTTAGAATATCTAGAGTCTAGAACTAGAAGTAGTAGATACGCCGCCTAAAATAAGAGAGTAAAAAGAGTAAGTAGCCTAGGTAAGCTATCTAGGTAGAGATAGCAGAGGTACTAAGAGTAGAGATAAGATAGGTTAGAAACTCTAAGTTCTAAAGCCTCTAGCTCTTGCCTTTCTTATAGTAGTAAGAGGGGATAGTAACTCTTTACTAGCTCTACCTTATCTAGTCTATAGACAAAGAGGCTATATTCTCTAAGCTTCTATACTATAGAGGTTTAGAAAAGGCAAAAAATACTTATAATTCTATCTAGAGATTACTCGCTTTAAGAGCTAGTAAAAAGTAGTTATATAGGCGCTTAGACAACACGCGTAGAGTATAAGAAGATAGTAAAAGTAATAAAAGAGCGTATTCTAATATAGTTACTACGCTAGAGTTAGTAAATAGCGTCTAAATAGTAAACTAATAGTAGAGAATATAAGCGTAAGCGCTTATAACGTTAGAAAAGCTACTATAAGGCTATGCGTACTAAAGTTAAGAATATAGCGTAATAGTAGGTAGGTAAGTAGTAACTAGAAGAGGAAGCTAAAAATTTATACGCGCGCGGATTATTAGTTGTGCTAGTGCTAAGCTTATATAGGCTTAGCGCCTCGGCTGGACTGTTACTCTAGGTAAAGAAGCTTAAACGTTGTGTCTCGATCTCGATGCACGCACAGCGCCCGGCAGGAAAATCCAGGAGCTCTATACGCAGCTCTCGCTTCCCAAGCTCTTCGCGGAAACCACCAAGCGCCGCCGCTACGACGATGGCTACCTCTACGCTTCCCCACGCCACAGCTACCTCGCGCCCACGACCGCGTCCGTGGCCTCGCTGCTCGCTGGCGTTGCCACGGGCGGCCAGTTGTTGCGGAGGTTTCCAACGTTGGGTGTCACCCCAGAGCGTCCCCGCTGCGATCCCTGAGCTCTTGGCAACGATCCTGCGTCGCTATGCGCGCCTCGTCAACCGCGCTCCAAGAGCAACGTCGCGAGCGCATTCTCTTCGAGTCGCTCATTCTCACCGACCTGTATCCTGAAGTTCACCGTAGGTATTCTTTCTTGTCACCGCCCTATTCTAGCGGTGCTGACTTCGTCCGTAGGACCCTTCGAACACGCGCCGCACGATTCCGTATCCTGATTCAAAGCGCCTGAAACCATCATAGCCGCGATTAACACGTGCAGGAAAGGCTGCGGCGGCTTCAGGGCTGCGCCATCTACAATGTTGCGTCGGAGAGCTGGGGCTCGCATCACGTCCGCGCTCTCGTCGACGTGTCTCCGCACACCGAGCTTGTCGCGGAAGCTCAGCCTGACGCTGGAATGCATAGCGGCGGCTTGTAACGTGGCTTGATACTCATTGGCGGTGCGTTTAAGCGCGTTTTCGTCGCTGTCTCGTCGCTCATGCGGAAATCGGCCGTGCGGTGGTGGGCGTGCGATGCTGGCGTAGATGCTGGTGCTGTGGATTCGTGGCCGAAGTCCGATGCGAGGGCAGACTGGTGAAGCGCTTTCGGCTCATACGGGAATGGCGATATTCTGGAGATGGCGATGCGAGGCGTACGAGAGCGTATACCGATTAAAGAACTCCGTTGATGTTGTGGAAGTGGTTGTCGCAACGTGATCGCGATCCAGGCGTGAGGAAAGTCTGCTCGATCAACGCCCACTCCCCACGAACGGATCCAGGAAGAAGCGTCTCGTTTGACACCGCCGACGCTGCGAATAGATCCTCCACTACCTTCGCGTTTATTACGGCATATTTTCGGGGTTCGCGTGACGGTGCATATTCAGGCCTGCTCGTATCGGTGAGATCCGCTTCCCCGCATTTTCACCCCACCTCTCCTCAGAACCTCATCCGCACCGCATCCCTCAAAAGACTACGTTGTACTAACGACGCGCCGATCGAATACCTAAATTAACCTTCATCGCAATCAACCATCCACCCAAAATGCGCACAGACGTCTCCTTCCAAACCTGCGACAACGTCACCCTCCGCGGCTGGTTCTACACCCCCACCAACAGCCCCCCATCCCCCCTCCCCTGCCTCATCATGGCCCACGGCTTCTCCGCCCTCAAAGAAATGGACCTCGACGCCTTCGCCTCGCACTTCTGCTCCGCCCTCCCACTCACCTGCCTTGTCTTCGACAACCGCGGCTTCGGCGCCAGCGACACCGGCCTCAGCCAGCCGCGCCAGGAAATCCTCCCCGCGCAGCAAATCAGCGACTACTCGGACGCCATCACGTACGCGCAGACGCGGCCGGATGTGCAGAAGGATAAGATTGCGGTCTGGGGCTCGTCGTACAGCGGCGGGCATGTGCTGTGGGTCGGCGCAGTGGATCGCAGGGTGAAGGCTGTGCTGAGCCAGGTGCCATGCGTGGATGGGTGGGCGAATTTTCATCGCCTTGTGCGGCCAGATTTCGTGCCGCAGATGAATGAGCTGTTCAAGAGTGGTGAGTTGGCTCCTGCTGTCTTGCGAGATACTAGCGTAAGAAGCGCTTTCTGATGGATGAACGGGCTAGACCGCCTTGCGCGCGCGGCGGGCGAGCCGCCGGGCTTGCTTCCCGTCGTCGATGCCGATGTGCACAAACCTTCTGCGCTGCCGACGCCAGACAGCTACGCGTTCTTCAGCGCGTGGGGCGAGAAGAGCGGGTGGAAGAACGAGGTTACCGTTAAGTCGTAAGATCCTCGCTTTCCTTTCCCCCTAAGTCAAACCGCAACAACACAGCGCATGCAACACTGACCCATCCCCTCGCCCTCCAGCATCGAAGCCTTCCGCGAATACCTGCCCTCCGCGCACATCCATCATATCGCGCCCACGCCGCTACTAATGACCGTAGCTGAGTGCGACGTCCTGACGCCGACGGATCTGGCGCTCGAGGCGTATGCGCGTGCGCTGGAGCCGAAGCGCCTGCACATTCTGCCAGGGGGGCATTTTGATGCGTATTCAGGGCAGTACTTTGAGAGGAATTGTAAGAGGCAGGTGGAGTTTTTGAGGGAGTTTTTGTGTGGGTAGGGATGTGTCATGGTGTTTTGGGGAAGTAGGATTGTGGGGCGGGATGGGGTCTCTATGGAGACATGCTGAGGGTTTACTCAGTAACGGCGGTGAATTGCACAAGCCTTAATTCTAGAAGTAGCTATTTATGCTATAACGACGCCGTTTAAACTCTTCTACTTTGGCAAGGCTATTAATAGCAAATAGGCACTTAGCCTATCCAAGAAAGATAAACGACGACTTTTGGATCTCTTAATTAAATTTGGGAAGTTCTTAATATAGTAAAATTAGATAAAGCCACAGCAGAGGAGAGAAAGGTCGACGAGCTCGTTTACTTAGTTGGACCTGCCGCTCTACAAGCGGTTGCGGTGAATAAATAGCCTCCCGCCTCTCTACGGCTAATTATAAAAGAACATGTTCTTCTATGCAGCACTAGCTAATATAAGAACGACAGAAGAAAGAGCTAAGTATTAGAAGTTATACGGTCGCGAGGAGAGAGATCCTCTTAAGCAAGGTAACCCTTCGGATAGTTCACCAAAGCGTCGTGAGAGTGAGGTTAACGTGCCGTAGCCACAGGATGTAGATGAGAACCAACTCAAGACACGTAAGACGCAGGAGAACCATCCGTTCCAAGATCCCTAGTAGAGGACACCTTCGATGCAGCGGTAGCTGGGCGAGAGCTCAGAGCCAAAATCCGTTACACTGATATACAGAGTACAGGAGGTTTTGGAAAGGCGTCGGCGGCGAGGGTGAGGCAGATATGTTGCGGTGCGGGCCGCGAAACGGGTTCTCGCGAGCGGCTACGAAGAGAACGTGAACAGAACGCCGACGAGAGAAGCAATAGGACGAGGTGATCTGAATGAACCGCCATCTTGGATCCCCTGCAGCCGTAGGATCCCCCAGTTGTGCCTTAAGTTTAGAGAGGTCCAAAGCCGCGTTTTCTTGCGTATGGGCCGCGCCGCGTCGTGCGATGGTGTTTCCAGCGGTGTTGGAGTGTGGGGCTCGACGGCGGGTTCAGTAATGTCATCTCCTATCGTTCGAACCACGTCTGAAACGCTGAGCTGACCGTCTTCTTAAGCTTTGTCGAGACGGAGCGCGGTTCGTGTTAGCGGAAGCGACAGTTATGCTGTAAACCTACCATGGCTAAGGGCGAACGGAGTCAATCCTGCAATCTGCGTAGGCTCAACCATGCCAGAACCTTGCCAGCCATTACACCTGCAAGCGTCTCGTTCAACGAATAAATTAGTCGAAGGCCAGGAGCAACATTCGGCGTCGTTGCATGTACGACAAGTCTTGGAAAGCATAACGTAGCATTACATCGCGTGCTGGGTCCTTGCAAAAGCATTCTTTAGCTCTAAAAGCGTCTTAAACTTAGATGAAAGAGTTCTGCTAAGTCTTAGTAATGCGTATATTAGCTATAGCGGCGATCTATACATTAATTTCGGACTACTTACTAGACTTTTTGCCGATGGTAGCATTGAAGCCTCAGAGCACCCAGGTTGATACTACTGCCGGTTCTGAGACAGAGTAAGCATTGTCGAACGTGGAGGAGGGACTATTTGTAGCTGGAATTAACTACTTCTATCCAGGAGTTTCTGTAGTATAAACGGGCCCTTACAAGCTAACTCTGCTAGAGTCCTGTAGTTGTATGTTTAACGGCAATATAACTTGGAGGATAGCTATTATAGCTTGGTAGAAGCTTACTTCTTAAATGCTAGATACTAGGTGTGTCTCTCTTCTACATTAAGTCCCTACACTTAAATGGCGTTGCGTATAGGTCATGGCTGAGTGTGCATGGGGAGCAGTGGAGGTTAGAATCGGACTAGGGAATCCTAAGAGGAGAAGATCAACAAGCTGGGGACAAGAGTATGATCTACAGGGATGAGTTATTAGGGATTGCGGTTACGAGCCTGGTGAATACAAAGGGCAGCTAGCTGACGGCTAGAACAACTTGAAACTATCCACGATCCGATTGACGCGATTGCGTGGAACGTAGGACTTGTGAGGAGCGAATCGCAGTCATGGGGTGGGTTCAGAGTTGTGCGCTATCCTTATCAGGCTTAGACTGTTACAGCGCCAGACTTGATAACTGAAAACTGCGAAATTCTAACTCTCGCCGCGTCTCCCGCGCATGCCAGAGCATCCTATACCTTCTTTGATCCCGTTCTCCCGGCTTTTGGGATGGATTGCCGCTGGAAAAGAAGGTGACACAGTGCAATGCCAACGTGACACAGCAAACCTGGATCCCTTCATAGTCGATTCTTTCTTTGATTCCGCTGTTGGTGCCGGCGACGGGTGCAACGGGCAGTCGTTTGCGGTGTCCCGTGCTAAAAAAGCAACAACCATGGACCCGACTAACTAATGGCTTTCTTTCAATGCTATCGTCAGAATTTGGTGTTAGGCTACTAGAAGCTATTAAGAACTGGCGGTACCAGCTGGCTAAGGCCTACAGCGAGTAAGGCAAATTCGACGTTCTGTTCTCTCGTCGCCACGAGAAAGCGTAGCTGAGCCAAACTCTAGCTTGTTTAGAAGCACTAATTGTGTTCTTCTTAGTTTCTCTTGCTCTTCCTAGATTCGTAATTTAAGGAATGCCTGCTAAGGCTGTATCCTAGGGAGCGAGCGTTAGCGAGCTGTACGCCGGCTTCGTTGTCACCTAAATCTCTCAGGTTCGTCTGCTCATGGATAGATTCGCCTCGCAAGTGAATAGTGCAACCTTCTCAGCTTGTTCGCCCTTAATCGATGCTGCGATTATTAGGTTAATCGGCGACAGCTCTCGCTGACGTTGTTAGCCTGGAGCTGCGTTGGGCTCTGCGGTAATGCGGGAGCGCCGCCTCTAGATGAGCATGTCGACGGCTATAAGTAGATGATTGGCACGCTGCTGGATAATCCTAACTCAACGACCATCTTCTGGGCGTCTCGGACTCCAAGCATTGTCTGCAGTGTGTGAATGCGCGCTTAATAATACCCAAGACTCTTTCGCTCCTTTGGCAATGTCTGTAGGCCACACAAGCCAGGACAGGCCTATCTACTAGGGTGTCTCCTCCTTGAGCCGTCTCGTGACTCCGGCGTTCCGAACGTTAGAGGATGACCGTGGGTTTAGTAAGCTAGTACTTGATGCCGCTGCAAGCGATATCATTTTGAACCTCAGGCACTGAGCTCGCTTATCGATGTTTGAGAAGATGCCTTCTATGGTATCCAAACTGACAACCCTACATTGCCCGGCAATCATTAGATTGTCCCAGCTGATGCATTAGCCATTTCCGGAAATGTAGTAGGGACTAGATAGGGAAAATTCGTCGAACATCTTCCGCCCTCATGGGCTTGTTGCTTGTTGGCTCCAGATGCGGGCGTTGACCCCGTTTGACCCCTTCCCCGCTAGGTCTGGTCGCCACGTGCCTTATCAGTCTCGACATTTCTCAGCTTGTACGCAATCGGTTTCCTCGGCATTGTTTCGCGTTGTCGCAGGGAGTTCTGGCGTTTTCCCTGAGCCGCATCTGGGGTATAGGTTCTGGGGTGTCTATCCAGGGGACTTAGCCGATAGGAATTACGCTTCGAACCCCTTCAGCCCTAGTCGTCTCTACTCCTCCACTTCTCTACGCCCGCGCTTCCTCTCTCCGACGCCAGCCTGCAGCTCCTCATATGGGCACCCTCCTCTGGTTTGCTCAATTGGGATGAGCGTTAGGGCCATTCTTGTGTGATAGCCTGACACAGGAAAGCGAGGTTAACGCGCGTTCCGATCTGCGCATAGCCACAGATACCTACTTCGGACTCGCCTTCTGCTACCCAAGGCGCCATAGATCTCGCCTTCTCTTCCGCTAAAACATCTGTCCATGGGATACTCCATCTATAGTGCGATGAATCTCGCACCCCTCCCCCCCTCTACTCCGGAATCCCGTGAATACAGAATGGGCGTCACGGGAGAAGATAGGACGCGCCGACGCGCCGATCCGTGGAATCAACATCGGCTGATGTTAACCTATTAACTGTGTCAGCCCCGCATACTGTGAATAGGATGGTGTGAACTCCCGCAATGGCAAGCAATATTGTTCGTTCAGATTTTTGGTTATCTGGCACATTCTCGCCATTGCTAGCAGGAGGCTGAAGCAATTCTATCTATGTGAATGATTCCTACACCTTGTACATAGATGTACTTTCCATCAACCTAAGCTGCCTTCTTTCGTGACTCTACTGTGTGTGGCCGCCGCCGTTAGCTACGTTACTCTAAACCTAGCTAAGATAATGGATGAGTACTCCTTTCTACCTACGTAATGCTCCTCTCTCAACTTTCGCCTTCAATGTTGCAGAATTTTCGTTGCTGGACAAGGATCCTTCTTCAAAAAGGCAAAGATGGACATGCAGATCAACATGATGAGGGGTAGCGACCCGCTCCTTACATAATGCAGTTTTAAATTTGAAGAACAGAGGCAAAAAGAGGGAGGTTTTTCATCACTTCGCGTGGTTTTCCTTCATCTGCCCTGCAGGAAGAAATGTAGAATAGTTGCATAGCTTTTAAGAAGCTAGGTCAATTCAATGATTTTAAGCCAAGCCAAGCCTAGACAAGTGGAATACCCCGCTTTACCCGCATAATCCTATCAGGCTGTGGCTATGGAAGGTGCCGTCTTGAACGAAACGGCTCCTATACCCACCTCCCCAGAGCTTGCGACACCACCGCTATCTTCCGCCACCCTCGGGGTCACCACACGTTACTTATTATCCCACGTCCCCCCCTTCTGACACCTGCCACCTCCCCTTCGCAAGCTACCTCATGACAACGGAACGATGTATCCACTGGTGGATAGGGCCCTGGCGGACGAGTTCTGACTGCGCAACTATCTCCATCTATTGATAGTTCCAGCTGCCAGCGACGATATAGAGAGGGGAGCGGACACATGTTAAGACTAGGAGAGGCTTTACGAAACCGCCGCAGGCAACAACCATGCGAGCTCCGCAAAGGTGCCGACGTCTGTGCTCATACGAGACGATGAAGCAGGAGGATTCCGCAGGCTCGAGTGAAACCGTCG